GACACAAAACATACCTCAATAGAATCAGGAAGATAGAAATAGTATCAACAATCTTTTCAGACCATGATGCACTGAGAATAGAAGTGAAGCACACACACACATACACACACGCACACGGAGAACCAAATCAGACACCTGAAAAATTAAACAACTCAATGTTGAACAGTGAGTGGGTCAGGAAGGAAGTCAAGGACGAAATCAAAAGATACCTGGAAACAAATGAGAATGAAGACACAAGCTACCAGAACCTATAGGATGCAGCTAAAGCCGTGTTAAGGAGAAAATTTATAGCTCTGCAAGCATTTCTCAGGAAGGAAGAAAGGGCCCACATAAACAGCTTGACTTCACAGCTTAGAAAACGATCAACAAAATGATCCCAAATCAGGCAGAAGGAAAGAGATAATAAAATTTAGAGCAGAAATCAACAACATGGAAACAAAAAAAAAATCCGAAAGATCAATGAAACCAAGAGCTGGATCTTCGAGAAAATAAACAAGATAGATAAACCACTAGCAAGACTCACAAAGAAACACAGAGAGAGAATCCTAATAAATTGAATCAGAAATGAGAAGGAGTATATCACAACAGAAACCAAAAAATTCAAAAGATCATCAGAGACTACTTTGAAAGTCTGTATGCCACAAAACAAGAGAACCTAGAAGAAATGGATAAATTTCTGGATTCCTCTAATCTCCCAAGGCTGAATGAAGAAGATCTAAGAGCTCAGGCTAAGAGTACCTGAATAAACCTATTAACATCAAGGAAATTGAAACTGTAATTAAAAGTTTTTCCAAAAACTAAAGCCCAGGTCCAGATGAATTCACTAGTGTATTTTTTCAAACATTTAAAGAGGATCTATTGGCAGTACTTCTCAAACTTTTCCAGGAAATGAAGAAACAGAAACTCTCCTAATCAGTTTCTATGAAGCCCATATCTGTCTAATACCAAAAGGAAACAAAGACACCACAAGAAAAGAAAACTACCGTCCAATATCCCTGATGAACATGGATGCGAAGATTCTCAACAAAATACTAGCAAATAGAGTTCAACAACTCATCAAAAAGATCATACACTATGACCAAGAGGGATTCATCCCGGGGATGCAAAATGGTTTAACATTCAGAAACCAATCAACATAATCCATCATATCAACAAAAGAAAATATAAAACCACATGATCATATCAATAGATGCAGAGAAAGCATTTGACAAGATCCAGCACCTTATGATGAAAACTCTATCCAAAATGGGTATAGAGGGGACTTTCCTCAATATAGTTAAAGCCATCTACCACAAACCTACAGCAAGCATCATCTTCAATGGGGAAAAACTGAGAGCCTTGCCTCTAAGATCAGAGACGAGACAAGGATGCCCACTCTCTCCACTGCTGTTCAATACAGTTACTGAATGTACTTGCAATTGTCGTTAGGCAAGAAAAAGATATTAAGGGTATTCAGGTAGGAAAGGAAGAAATCAAGCTCTCACTATTCACAGATGATATGATACTATACTTAGAGAACCCTAAAACCTCTACCAAGAAACTCCTATAAACAATAGACTTATATAGTAAAGTTTCAGGCTATAATACCAATACCCAAAAGTCCATGGCTTTCCTATATGAAAATAGTGAGAGAGAAGAAAGTAACATGAAAAAAAAAACCAATCCCATTCACAACTGTGCCCTAGAAAATCAAGTACCTAGGAATCAGCTTAACTAAGGAAGTAAAGGACCTTACAAAGAAAACTACAAAATGCTGCTTTAGGAAATAAGAGGACACAAGAAATTGAAAAGATATCCCCTACTCATGGATGGGGAGAATTAACATTGTCAAAAAAGCATAGAATAGAAGTGAAACACACACACACATACACACACGCACACGGAGAACCAAATCAGCAAAACATTGTACAAATTCAATGTGATCCCTATAATGACATTCTTCAAAGAAATGGAGCAAACACTCCTGAAGTTCATATAGAACAATAAGCCCCCACGAATAGATAAAGAAATTCTTGGGAAAAAGAAAATGGGAGGAATCAACCTCCCTAAATTCAAACTGTACTACAAAGCAGTAATAATTAAAACAGCATGGTACTGAAACAAAGGCAGAGCTGCAGACCAATGAACACAGTTGAATATACTGACATCTCTCCCCAAGCATACGATCATCTAATCTTCAATAAGAGGGTAGGAATAGTGAAGTGGAGCAGGGAAAGCCTCTTTAACAAATTGTGCTGGCAAAACTGGATGGCTACATGCAAAAAAGTGGGCTCAGATCTCTGCCTAACGCCATGTACAAAAGTAAGATCAAAATGGATTAATGGCCTCAGCATCAGACCAGAATCCATAAAGTTCATTGAAGACAAAGTTGGCAAAACCCTCCACGATATTGAAGCTAATGGTATCTTCAAAGATGTCATGCCACTGGCCAAGCAAGTGAAAACAGAGATAGACAAATGGGACTATCTTAAACTAAGAAGCTTCTGCACCTCAAAAGAAACAAGGACCAAAATACAAAGACCATCTACAGAATGGGAAAGGATAATCACCCAATACACATCCAACAAGGGGTTGATATCAAGCATATACAAAGTACTGGTTGAACTCCACAAGAAGAAAACATCCAACCCCATCAAAAAATGGGGTGACGAAATGAACAGAAACTTTTGCAAAGAAGAAATCCGAATGGCAAAAAGGCACATCAGAAAATGCTCTACATCGCTAATCATCAGGGAGATAATGAGAGATCATCTCACAGCACAGAGACTGGCCCATATCCAAAAGAACAAAAGCAACCGGTGCTGGCGCGGATGTGGCGAGAAAGGGACCCTCCTTCACTGCTGGTGGGAATGCCAACTGGTTCAGTCCTTTTGGAAAACAGTATGGACAATTCTCAAAAAATTAGAAATTGAGCTTCCATTTGACCCAGCAATACCACTCCTGGGAATATATCCCAGACAGGCAAAATAGTATAGTTGAAGTGACATCTGCACTTGTTTCTTCATGGCAGCACTCTTTACAATAGCCAGAATCTGGAAAAAACCTGAGTGCCCGAGAACAGATGATTGGTTTAAGGAACTTTCGTACATTTACACAATGGAGTACTGTGTAGCTGTTAGAAAAGATGAAGTCATGAAATTTACATAGAAGTGGTACTACATGGAAAGTATCATGCTAAGCGAAATGAGTCAGAAAGAGAGGGACAGACATAGAAATATTTCATTTGGGGAACATAAAGTAACAAAATAGGAGACTAAGACCCAAGAATAGCCGAGATAAGTACCAGGAGGTTTACTCCATGGCTTGGAGGTTAGGGGAAAAGGCAGCTCAGATAGAGAAGGGAGAACAAAATGAAAGGTGTTAGGAGGATCCTCCAAGGATGGGAGATGCATGCTGAAAGTAGACTCTAGACCGAACATGATTGCCACTCAATGCCTCTTTTGCAAAAACAGCACCCAAAAGGAGAGAGAGAACAAAAGGAAATGTCCTGCCACAGAGTCAGGGTCGGATGGGAGGGAGGATGGGGGTTGGGAGGGATACTGGGATCCGTGGTGGTGGGGAATCGGCACTGGTGGAGGGATGGGTACTCGATCATTGAATAACTAAAACCCAAGCTTAAATATTTTTAAGTCTACAACTGTACCTCATGGTGTTTCGCTAATAAAAATTAAAAAAAAAATAAACAAAAATTTTGAGGACTAGCTACAAAACAGGCAAACTTCAACACATTTAGAGTTAAAACATCACTTTTTCCTATGCTAATGAAGTTGAAATATGTTCTACAATATATTTAGTTTACTATTATTTGTCCATAATATCTAAATACATAGTTAAAATATTTATTATCCATGTGTAAAATGTTCTTGAGTAGAAAAATATTTTTCTGTTACCTATGTGCATGAAGATTGGTATTATTCTGCAACTGTAGACTAAATATATAAGGTAGCAATCTTATTAGCCAAAATCATTCCCAATCATATTAATAAAACTTTCACAAAATTATGTACAACAATTTATATAGATAATATCAGAAGTTTTTTTTTCATAGAGGCTGTTACAAATATCAATCTATCTTGTATTACTCGCTTCTCCAGAAGAAGCTTAACTTTCCATGTTAAGAAAAGATATGATGCTGAAAGTATACTATAGACCTTCATGATTGCCACTCAATGCCTATTTTGCAAACCAAAACACCCAAAAGCAAAAGGAGAGAGAGAACAAAAAGGAATACCCTGCCACAGAGGCAGGGTGGGATGGGGGGATGGGGGGTGGGAGGGATACTGGGACCCGTGGTGGTAGAAAATGGGCACTGATGGAGGGATGGGTGTTTGATCATTGTATACTTGAAACCCAAGCACAAAAATTTGTAAATCTACAAGTGTACCTTATTAGTGTTTCACTAATAAAAATTTAAGAAAAGAAACGATGTGAACAGCCAGAATCTGGAAATAACCTGAGTGCCCAAGAACTGACGACTAGTTACATCTCTACAATGGAATACTATGAGGCTGTTAGGAAAGATTAAGTCATGAAATGTGTCTATAAGTGGTTGGTCATCGAGAGTATCCTACCAAGTGAAATGAGTCATAAAGAGAGGGACAGAAATATATTCCACAAATGCATTTATTTGTGAAATACAAAATAACATAATATGAGACTGACAACCAAGGATAGCAGACACAAGGATCGGAGGATTCCTCCATGGTTGGAAGCCTGCCTCATGAGCTGGGGGAGAAGGTAGCTGGAATAGAGAAGTGATCACTAAGTCAGTGATGGTTGGAGGGATTTCTCAGGATGGGAGATGTGTGCTGAAAGTAGATAAAGGACCGAACATGATAGCCTCTCAATATCTATATTGCAAACCATAATGAGAGAAAGTTTAGAGGAAATTAAAAAATAGAGAGAAAATTTAGAGGAAATGATCTGCCACAGATGCAGGGGGAGGGTTGGGATCGGGTGGGGGAAAAAATAAAGTAACAGAGACCATAACGTCACAAGAACCTGCCACCTTTTTAATCAAGTAACATTAGTTTAAAGATATACATATACATACATAGGTAAAATACATACTTTTGAAAACAGTAAAGCAAACTTGATGCGATATAATTTTTTACACACAAAATATAGATACTCTTCAGATATAAAATATAACTAATTTCACAGGAAAGACACAACTACCTGGGACTCAAGGACAGCTTTATCTTCAGATGAATTGTTATGCATCAATGTAGTGGCCTCATCAACACAAATCAAGCATTTGCTAAGTTTTGGGGGGTGTGAACCTATATATATGACACAGGTGGAGTTTCACAAAAGTTCTGGACCGTGATAACTAGTCTTCAGGCAGCTTTTGGACCACCAAGTGACCTATAGTAGCAGGAATGAGAGGGTCATCATACTCCGAGCACAAAAACTGGGCACAAAAACTCTAGTGCCTTTGGAATGGGCACATCTTCAGCTCTGATCTCCTAGAATTAGTTCTAAGGGAGCGTTTCTCAACTTGGGGTCAGGTGAAGATTCAAAGACTCCCAGAATACTCCCCGGGGACCAAGTGGAGAAAACTCGAGTACACAGATGGGGGCACAGCACAAGCTTAAGATGTGGGGGCTCCAGGAAACAAGATCAGGAGCGGGTGACGATGAGGAAGAGTGTAAGAACGGCTGCCGGGAAGGGTTCGTGTGCTCCAAGCACCTTCGTGTAGGACCCACAGCGACCGAGCAGGGGCGACGGGGCAGGCTGCGTTTCTCCCCCCAACGCAGATGTCCAGGTCCACGTCTGAGATGCGAGGTGTCCTCGCCCACATCCCCACAAGCCCTGGGAGTGGCCGCCACCCTGTGCCGTGAACACAGAATGCGGCACTGGCGGCTCTGATTTTGAGGGGACAGACGGAAGCATTTGTTCAGAGCTCTAGGAACGAGATTCCGTCGCCTGGTCCAAGACCTTCTGGGGAGGAGCGAGAGCTGCCGGGCGCACGGGGAGCGAGGGCCGGTTCCGCGCTCCTCCCGCCGTGGCCTCACTCGACCTCGACCCGCGGGGCCGGCTTCTTGGAGGAGGAGCTCCCGGGATCCGAGGGCCGGTAGGAGAGCGTGCTCATTTTGGTCGACAGGCTTGCGTGGGACTTGGCCTTCGGGGGCATGTACTTCAGGAGCTGGAGGAAGTACCTCTTGAACTTTTTCCCCAGAAAGCCGTAGAAGAGCGGGTTCAGGCAGTTGTTGAAGTAGGCAATGCAGATGGTGATGGGCATGGCCGTGTCCACGACGTCGGACACCCGGCAGTCGCGGATGATGCCCAGCTGGATCAGGACGTCCAGGAAGGTGAACACCTGGTGGGGCACCCAGGAGAAGAAGAAGAAGAGCACGATGGCCAGGATCATCTTGAAGACGTCGTCGTTCCTGGGCCTGCTCTTCTGTATCTCGTAGGCCTTCTTCAGGGCCTTCCAGATGAGCGAGTAGCTGGTGAGGATGATCAGGAAAGGGAAGAGGAAGCCCAGGATGTTCTTGGTGAGCCCCAGCCCGACGGGCAGGGTGGAGTTCTGGGATTCGTAGTGGAAGGCACACACGGTGATGTTGGTATTCTCGATGAAGAACACGTTCCGGTGGATGACCGTCGGCAAGCTGGCCAAGCCGGCCAGCAGCCAGATGACAATGCAGGTGACCTTGGCCACCAGCATCGTGCGCCGCAGGCGGGCCTTCATGGGGTGGACGATGGCCAGGTAGCGGTCGATGCTCAGACAGGTGAGCAGAAACACACTGGCATAGAGGTTGAAACTGACGCTGGCCGAGGCGATCTTGCACAGGGAGTTGCCAAAAGGCCAGCGGTATTCCATTGCTGTGTAGACGGCCCAGAGGGGCAAAGTCAGGAGGAAGCATAGGTCGGCCAGCGCCAAGTTCAAGAGGAAAACACTTGCCACAGTCTTCAGTTTCATGTAAAAGTAAATGACGATCACCACCAAGCTGTTTCCGAATATTCCCACCACGAAGATGATGCTGTAGAGAGTGGGGATCATGATAAATATGTAATCGTGCCTCCCGGCTTTGGGACAGTCATCCTGGATTCTTTTAATGCCGTCTTCGATAGAGGCGTTGAGCATCATTTTGATTACCTGGATGAATTATTCTCAGACACGATCACCGAATTCACCTGGAGAAAACAAAAATGAGAGGTGAACGTGCGGTTTACAAGATGCAAAGTGTTCTTTTTCTCAATTATAAATACAGTAATTCAATGCTCTTCTCGGAGGAGGAAGTTAGATCATAACTTCTAAAGAAAAATTGATTTGATTGATTTGAATTGATTCTGTCTAAATTGTATATTTAAATTTATTCTGAAGCGACAGCACAGCATGTAGGGCATTTGCTTGCAATGTGCCGACCTGGTTTCGAATCCTCCATCCCTCTTGAGAGCCCTGCAAGCTACCGAGAGCTGACTCTCTTAACTTCTGGGCCTGCCAACCATGTCCAGAGTCAATTCCCAGGGTCAATGAACTGCTTCTGTAAGAAGGGTGTAGGTCATGCTTAATAAAGAAAGATGGCTTTGTGCAGACACAGAGAATTTTAGGAAGCATCAGATGTTCGGGATGGAGCCCCACAAAGACGTTTGCCAATCTCAACTCTGGTATGTTGTATAATTAACCATCAAGATCTTCCTTTATTTGATTGAGAAAAATCAATTTATTCTGCCCGTAACCTAAATCGATTTGCTCGAGCAGGCCCAGTAACGTCTCCATTGTGAGACTTCTTGTTACTGTATTTGGCATATTGAATAATCTCAGTAGCTTGCCAGGCTCTCTGAGAAGGGCGGAGGAATCGAACCTGGCTTGACCAGGTTATCTGCGTGCAAGGCAGACGCCCTACCACTGTGCTATCGCTTGCGCGCAGCCAGCCTGGCCGAGCAGGGTTCGATTACTCCACCCCTCTCGGAGAGCCTGGCAAGCTACCGAGAATATTCAATATGCCAAACACAGTAACAAGAAGTCTCACAATGGAGATGTTACTGGGCCCGCTCGAGCAAATCGATGAACAACGAGAGGACAGTGTAACCTAAATCTACACAAACTTGGAGATGTATAAAGTGAATAATCTCCCAGATGTGGCTCAGTTAGGCTCACAGATCAAGGGGCTCTCAGGCAAGGGAAGCCTGGTTGGGCAGAAGTTTGGCACCAAGATCCAATTTCCACAGTAGTGTATCTCTAGATGAGCATGATTGTATGTCCCCCTTTTACAACATCTCCTAAAGAAGAAGATGAATAGAGACCAGGAATCCAAACCAGGGTTGGTCACATGCAAGGCAAATGCCGTAACCCTTGTGCTCTCTTTCTGGAATGTTCCTCTTAAAAAAAAAAAAAAAATATATATATATATATATATATATAGTTTATATAAGATGGTTACAATAGTGATAAAGTTTATGGTATTGGTGTACAAAGTTCTTGCACTCTCCTCTCTGACCAAAATTTCCATGATCCTCCACCGCTGGTTTATCAGTTGCTGGGAAGGCAAGACCTATTCGGAAACAACCTGTTTACTAGTGGACATCTGGCTGTTCCAGGAGGCAGATGATAGATGTCCCATGGATATTGGAGAGAGAATATGAGAGAGTGAGCAGCGTAGAGCTGAAAGCATTGAGTAATAAAGAAACTAGTTTCTATGGGATTATGATGTATAGTTACATGTTACTCTCGAGTCAGAGAGAAAATGTTCATTGTCAACCTCACCCTTATTTGACAAGAAAACAAAACCCAAAATGAACACAGACAAGCAAATGGGCACATGCACACACACACACACACACAATAATAACCCTTGGAACTCAATAATGTGGTTTGTAAAATGGAAGACAAGAAGAGAAGGTCGGTTTTCAAGAAGGTCTGACCTATTCCTCACTCTGAAGATTTCTCTGAACTTTGATGATTTTTCTGCTCATTTGATTATAGTGACTGAAATTGTGCCAATTTAAAAACATAAATTCATTTAGGTAAACAAACATTCTCTAGTAGAAATTAAATGCTTCATCAAAGGTTTGAGGGCTTGCAATCATTCATGTCTTTATGTAGACTGATGTCTTATTTGTTCTTAATCTTGCTGAAATCAGTTGGATGTTGCCTAGGAAAAACTGGAAATGTCAAGGTTAAAGACTCTCAAAGATTAGAAAGGACCCGGGTGAGCTCCAGAACTGAAAACTAGAGCAAAAGTAAATATTTGCTTCACTTTAGACACAAGGGCATGCAAGCAATGGAAAAACTCGATGCATGAAGATCCTTGGATTCCTGGAATATGAGAACTACCTCTTTAAGTGTTGGGGGGGGCAGGGTTCCCAAGTGGTGACTAGGCCCAGGAACTTCTGACAATTCTTGACCAACTGGGCCAGTGGTCCAATGGAAGGGCTCAAGGATGTTGTGTTTATGAGACAAGAATTGCCCAGGCCACCTCAGAGATGCTTGAGGAACCCCACGATTGCAGTGATGCTCGGAGGATCATATGGTCCTAGGGTGGAGCCAGGGTCAGCCTCATAATGCACCTTAACTCCTATGCTATTTCTCTAGTACCCCTTTCCATCTTGATCAACACTGCTCATTCTGGCTCTATTACTTCCGTGTTGGGAAACTGCAGAATTTCATCAATTCATTAGAACCATCAATTTACAATTGAATCTTGAAGAGAGAAAGTTTCCTTCAGGAATTACCAACTTCTAAACACCTTTGTACTCCAACTACATTGTCAGCTGAAGCCAGTTTCTTGAGTTTCCATCCATACATACGGATGAATAGCTTAGCCTATACAAAGTTGCTCTGAATATCCAGAGGGGCATCCCTGGAAATTTTAGGGAGTTATTTATTACTTTATGGAGTAGATCTCTTGGGAAGCTCTGTACACATCATTGATATACTACTACCAGAAAAGGTTGCCATAAATGTTTACATTAAGTCACGATAGAGATTTCCTCTCCTGTAGGGAAGCCAGTGTTCTCATACTTTGGGGTGGAGAAAGGAGGAAGAGGCTTTCAGGTGATATAAATGATAAGAGCAAGCACCGGGTAACAAAAATTCAAATAGGGAATTCCATAGGCAATCCATCCATTGCACAGTCCCTGATGCCCCACTCTGTGCTGAGTGAAAATGCAGAGGGAATCAAAATTCCCTCAAAAATCTTCTTCTCTGAGGTGTTTCAGTCTAGCTAAAACTTCTCCAGCTCATTGAATAGAAATATCTCTAGTGCATTTAGTGTTATACCAGTCCCAGAACACATAATCTAGCCTGTGCATATTACTCCCACAGCATTGCTGGGGAAGGGCTGTTGGTGGGGGAGATCTTCTAGACTTGGGAGCTGTACATGGAACAGACTGACTAGAATTAAAGGACTTCAACCAACTGGCCGGCCAAGGCAGAGAAGAAATTATATATTCACTTGATTTTTCCCCCTTTATAGGAATGCTGACCCCAACATGCACCATCTATGAGAAACTGCTCTTGCATATATCTGAATATCGCTCAACCTTCTGTGCATGGGGTTTTTAGGGAGGGAGATGTGAGCTGCCCCAGCACATAAGAAACATCCTCTCTGCAGCCTCTGCAAAACTGGAAGTGTTCCAGACGGTCTATGTCTTCCAGAGAGAAGCAGAATTCTTAGGAAAGAGAAAATTTGGAGGTCCTTTGTGGGCTGGTGTTGAAGGATGTTGTTTTGGGAAGAGCTATAGGAGACAGATGCATGGGGACTCCTAGGAAACACACATGGTCAGTTCCCGAAGGGATTCTCATTCCTCCCCCATTGGTTCTAGACTACAGGATGCTGACAGAACACGGTGGGAAGTCTGGTGGTCCACCTCTTTTTACTTCTGGCCACAGTTGTGGCCAAGTTTTGACCACAGCATGGTCTTCTTGGGGGAAAGGATATAGGATTAAGGGACATAATATTCTGGTGGAACTCTACATGCCACCTGCATAGCTGTGTGACTCTGGGCAGGCCAATTTCTCAGACCATGAACCCCAGTGTCCTGAGATGTGACACATAGAAACACTTCTCATAGTTCTGAAGTGTTTCAGGCATTCAGGGAGGCAAAGGGTACAGAACCAGGTGGATCTTTCAAATCAGAACTTTCAAGAAATATGTTTTATTTCGACCTTTACTATTTTGAAAGTCAGGCAACTTTCTCTAGCCATGGTTCAGACACACAGGAGGTTGAGGGGGAAAAAAGTTCAGGAAGGGTGAGCTCTTTCTCTGGTCATTAAAAGGCTAAATATACCATGCTATTGGCTTTCGATGTATGAGTAAAAAATGATCTTCAACAGCTGATTAAATTTGCTCTGAGTCAGGTGGGCCTTTCATGCAGCTGTCACTGTCTGGCCTCTCGGGATTTTTTTTTACGCGGGCATTGCTTTCTCTTCCTTGAAAGCTTCCTTATTCTTAAAAACAAGCCTAATAGAGAAAAATTTCTTCCTTCCTTTATTTTTTTTAAAATTCGGAGATATTTCCCCAAGACTTTTGATTAGAATATTAATACCTTCTTAAGCTTTTGAGGCAGGCCCCAAACCAATCTAATTAAATTGTTCATTATGAGCTTCTTTTTTTTTTCTTCTAATGAGTTTGCAATCGAAATAAAAAAAATCACCCCCTAGTTTCTGATGATAATAAAGAGAGAACTAAAAGACCAAGTAATTATATTTTAGAATCATCTTCTATCAAAGTCTCACTCTCAGATAGATATCAAAGAGGAAGGCAAAATGGGTAAGTCATTTACTTGTGGAGTTGGACAGTGCCATAACACATCCTGTTTAAAAGTCTTTCTCTTTATTGCTACTAGTTTGTAATTCAGACTTTAGAAAACTACAATTTCTGCTCCTGCATGTCCCACCCCCTTGCTCCCCACCCTCCAGTGATAAATGAATCATTCTGCAAGGAGCAACTGTTTCCTAATTTCTACATGAGAAGTCATTGGATGGCAGAAGTTGACTCCAAAATATTTTAGATTTCTATTATGTTCTCCCTTTCAAAACCCACTGACCTTTCTTTTTTCCCGCTTCTAGCTTGTTTTTGAGGGGTGGTTGGGTTACACCTGACAGTTCAGGGATCAGTCTTGGCAGTTCTCAGGACCCATTCATAGTTCTACGGGTCAAACTAGGTGTTTCTATGCAAGGGGACAGCAAG